GGATGGGTAAGAGGAGCACATCTGTGTTTTCACAAGCCTTTCAGGAGTACATTATAGGTCTGAGAACTACTGCCAGACTGCACATATTCACTGTATCTATAACAGAGGAGGAAATGGCATGAGTATGTCCTGATTTACACAGGGATATGCTCTCAAAAATTTATAAACTGAGCTTTCACAAGTTGAATAATAGTTTTCAAGCACTAAGACAGCTAGTCTGTAATGCCCTGTATTTAATTTTTAGAAAGGTAAGGATTCTTATCTAGTGCAAATAAGCACCACATGTCTGTTAAATAGGTTTGCATAATTTTTTCCTTTGGAGGCACAAATGTTCAAAATCCTAAATGAAAATACTTGTTTTTATTCCCATAATGACCAGAAAGAATTACTTACCCAAGGAGAAACACTATTTATATTTTAGAGTCAAGCTGTAATTCTTGAAAAACAGGAAACCACACATCAACATAGCCAACACAGTGTACCATAGTAGAAAGGGCACCAGGCTTTGAGTCACAGAGTCAAGTCACTTAACTTCTTCAACTCAATTTCCTGATTTTAAAATGGAAAATGAATTCCAATTTCAGAGTCACAATTAGGCTTAAATGATTACGCCATGTGAAAGCTGTTGGTAAACAGTGAAGTGCCAATATAAGTTCCATCTGCACAGGCCCTTTTTCTTTCTTCATCATGTTACCATCACAATTTCTCCAACGCTTAGGATACTGTCTGCCTCACAGAAGCTACTCAATACTTACACGGTATTAGGAATGAATATGAGATATTATATTAATGATGTAATTGACTCCTTCAGGCATTATTTGTCACAATAATCTCAGTCTTTTAATAGGAAAAAGTCACTCTAGCAAGAAATCCTTAGTCATGTTTAAAATGGGCCAGATAATTTAAGAAAATCAGCTGATTTTCTTCCCTTCGGGAATACTACTGAAGTTCTGTCCTAAGGCATACAACAAAAACTCCTATTAGCAACCCTGATGACCTTGGGGGTCTCATGGTGTCAAGTCTATAACAATCTGTTGCCCAGATATAAACAATCAGGAATAATGGATGTGTACCTACAAGGAGCCACATATTTCACATTTATTTTCATGCTGTGGCAGAATGTTAATAAATAGATTACAGAGTTTATGTAATCGATTTTAAAATCTAAGATCCAAATCAACAATATTAAATAAGCTTCTACTGTGTATTAAAAAAAAAAAAGACTACTAGAAAGCAATTGCCAATTAAACATCACTTGGGAAGAGAAACCATTGTTGAATTTATTATTTAATGAGGAAAATATCACTTATGAAACTCTGTATACTTATGGTAAATACAGTTCCTTTTTTCCTTTTCCTTTTTTTAAATTTTACTTTATTTTTTTTTGAGATGGAGTCTTGCTCTGTGGCCCAGACTGGAGTGCAGTGGCATGATCTCAGCTCACTGCAACCTCCGCCTCCTGGGTTCAAGTGACTTTCCTGCCTTAGCCTCCCAAGTAGGTGGAATTACAGGAGCACACCATCATGCCCAGCTAATTTTTGTATTTTCAGTAGAGACAGGGTTTCGCCATGTTGGTCAGGCTGGTCTCGAACCCCTGACCTCAAGTGATCCACCCGCCTTGGCCTCCCAAAATGCTGGGATTACAGGCATGAGCCACTGCACCCAGCCCCAATGAGGTTCCTTAATTTGCACTCTCTCCAACATACTTTCTCAACCTCCCCAAAAATTAGTTAATGGTCTAGAGCCCTGAAATAAAGGAACTTTGGCCCCACAAATTACAGAATTGAACATAGAACTCTATCAGCTTTTCAAAAAAATATTGAAAACAAGTTTACCCTTTCTAAGCTCAATTTTTTCACCCCTCTTTTCAACTTTCAAGGCAATATGAAACTTCAACTAAACAATTACCTGGCTAAAGTGACTTGTAGGCCAGGCATGGTGACTTCCACCTGTAATCTCAGCACTTGGGGAGGCAAAAGTGGGAGGACTGCTTGAGCCAGGAGTTCCAAGACCCACTTGGGTAACGTAGGGAGACCCTCCTCCCCACCCCAATCCATCTCTACCAAAAGATTTTTTAAATTAGCCGGGCATGGTGACACATGCTTGTAATCCCAGCTATTTGGGAGGCTGAGGAGGGAGGATCCCATGAGCCCAGGAGTTGGAAGTTGCAGTGAGCTATGATTGTGCCACTGCACTCCAGCCTAGGTGACAGAGTAAGAACCTGTCTCAAAAATAAATAAAGTGACTTGTAGAGGTGTCTGATAAAGACGTAACTCATATATATGTATTTTAATTGAATAGTCTCTTTCAAATTTAATCCAAAATCTAATTAAGCAAGTATCTTAGTCAATTAAAAAAGTAACTTTCACCTCAACCAGCTCTGCGAAATTCAGTTAAACCAGAGAGGAAACAGAAGAGACAGCTAGTTTTGACATGGTCTTATTACCCTAGAGTAGATTAGTGATTCTGGTGGCAAAAAATGCATGCCTGTTATGCATGTAGGAGAAAGCAATGTTTAAAATTTATGACTTTTGTCATAAATTTTCAATCTCTAAATGATCTTTGTATGCTAATTTAACACACTGTTATTCTTCAAAATTATATTTTTGCAAAGTTGAAGAGTTAAGCAAATGCCAAAGACACAAATTCAATTGTTACAGTGAATGAATAAGGCAGATTAATATTTAACAGTTCATTTTCTTGCAGGTGAAAAGCAAAAAATTCACAGCAGCATACCTGCAAGTCCCACATCTCCAGCCTCATCAACCTTGTAAGTTATATTTGAAAAAAGAAAAGTCTCCAATATCTAAACTCATTTTCCCCAAAAGTCCCACTCTTCAATCTCTACTTGTCTCAAAGTGACCAAATCTATCCCAAATTATTTCCTTGGTTCTCTCCGTAAACATAGCTTAATTCAAATGAGTTTCTCTAGTTTTACGTACTACTTATGTATTCTCTTGCTTTCTCTCCTCGTCTCCCCTTGGATCGTTTTCCTTTAGTTCTCACCACTGTTTTTCTGCATATTTATCTTCAAATATTCAAGTACAATACTTTCCAACATCCACAAGAGACAACACCTTGAAATTAAAGCAGGCAAACCATCCAGAGTTTTCCATTCTCCTGTGAATCTACTTCCAGAATATCCACTCAAGGAATCCTTCCCACTAAAGATGAAAGGCGAGCTAAGGAAATACATTAGACAAAGGAAGTAAACATTGAAACAGGGCCATGCCTAGGTATTCTTCAGTCCCAGAGAAATAAACCTAGACTCTTGGGTCCAAAGGTCTTTTTTGTGACTTTTATCCCCACCCAGAGGCCGACACCACGCAGGTCTGAGAGAAGTATCCCACGGCCACCTACCTTCTACACACACCGCATGACCTTGCTCTGAAATAATCTTGCACAAGCCAAATTCTCCACGCCTCTCAGACTCCTACCTAATGTTTCTGTGCCTCAGTTTCCGAGCTCTTCTCACTTTGCAACTGTCCCAGGGAACACTGGGTCTTCGCCTTAATTTACAGGTTTGCACTGAAGGTTTTAAATCAGTCTGGTTTCCCCGTAAGTCACACCCCACAACGTGCACGAAGTGGGGGTTAAAATTGTCTCCGCTCCACCCTTAAATAAAACAAATCACTTGGCTGCAAGGCCTTTCCCCCAGCAGAGACTGGTTCACAGGAGATTCGGACACATCTCCACCTCCAAAGCCAAGTGCCTTCCCGGGATGATTTGCATAACAATATGCGGGTCCTGGAGGTGGAGAAGCTCCAGGAAAACTATCAGGACGGTATCGAACCGCCCGCAGGCCCGTCGCAGCTCCATTAATGTAACTACCATCACACTAAGGTAACGTGTGATTCACACTCTCCACCTTCTCTCCCCTCATTCCCCGGCTCCGGCGCTCGCACCGTCGGAGGGTGGGGGTGTGACGGTCACAGAGGATGGGACACCCGAAGGAAAAAAGCATTATCAGGAGAAATTAGCCAGTCCCACACTCTGAAGACGCCTCTCCCTCTGTCCCAGAAGTAAGTCTCAGAATGTGGCTCCAACTCCTCCCCGGAGACTACGGACCACCGACACACGTCTCCCTCCTGCTCTCAGTGAGACGCGACGGGAGGCCCTCATCTCTCTCCACGACAGGCCCAGGGGAGGGTCCCAGGGTGCAGGAGAGAAGAATCCCGCTTTTCCCCGCCCCCCCCCCCCGAAACTTCTGGGACTCATTACGCAACTCAGGGAGCAGGTCCCAACAACGGGACAGCTCTCCACAAAACGCGGGGAGCACAGGCAAACGTCCGATTTGGGGGCTGGGGGTGAGGAAGGAGCATGAGTATCTTCCCGTGTCCCCGTCCCGTTTTTCTACGCGCTACCTGCCGCGGTTTCGCAAGTAGGGCAGTGAGAGCTCTGCGCCCTCGCCCGTTCTCCCCGAAGGCTCCCTCCGGAAAAGTGGGAACACCAGCGACTTGAGTCAGCTTGCTGGGAAGCCGGCAGAGAGGCGGGGAGAGCCTAGGCTTCCGAGAAGTCCGCGGCGGCGGCGTCGGGGGCCAGGCGGACC